AGAATTTAATTTATTTCTTTCACACTAATGTTTAGTTATGATATTAGAGAAACATTAAAATGCATCATAAAAAGTATTACTAAAATTTAGATCGCTTAATAGCTAATTGTTATAATTTGACATGGTGAGAGTAAACTTCACTTTTGCCTAATAAAAATCATAACTGAAACAGATTTCGTACTAATATGATCTATATAGCAGGTTTACTAATTTACATCACATGTTTTACCCTCTTCTGTTATAATAATAAAATAAGCTTTGTCAGATAATATTGAAACAAAAGTTTTTTTAAAATTTTAATCTATGGGTTGTATTATTATTAATTTCATAAATTCAGTTTTGCTTTGTTATATATATATATATATTTGTATTTATGTAGTGTAATATTAATATTTATATATATATATATGTATATATATATATATATTTGTATTTATATAGTATAATATTAATATAAGTTAGTATACAAACTACAGATCAGACATGGGTTCTAAAATTATGAATTTTCATTGGCTCTTTATACCAAATATTGCATAGACATGCATTCAGTTTACTTCAAAATATGAGTCCTCGCTAACACTTCAGACAATTATACAAAAATTACTATTTTAGTACTTAATATATAGTAGAATATATTATACTGTATATAATAATATAATAAAAATTAATTTTTTAAAATTTAAAGAAAATTTTAATAAGTAAATCTCTTTTGGACTTCTAAGTAAAATTGTAAAGAAAATTTTTTTGGTGTTAATAATAATTAGATAATCAAAATTAGCCTTGTAGATCTCAAGATATTTAGGGTTAAAGATATCTTGAGATCTACAAGATCAATTTTGATAAGGAACATGACAAAAATCAGTTGATTTTTTAAGGAGGAGGGGGTAAAAAAGTTAAAATTATATATAAAAACTTGATTTTTTTATATTAAGAGGGGAGGGGAGTAAGCCTCTGATAAAAAATAATCAGGTGATAAATGACACTGCCCTAACTTAATAAAAACTTCTTTAATTTTAAATCCTTATGTTTGTGTCTTTAATTCCAAGTATCTTGGAATACACAAGGCTGATTTTGATGATCTAATTACTATTAGAACCAGAAAAATCTTCTCTACAACTTTACTTAGAATCCCAACAGACTCTAACTTAATAAAAAGCTTCTTTAATTTTAAAAAATTAATTTTTATATTAATTTATTATATTTTCAATATTAAATACTAAAAATAGTAATTTTTGTGTAACCATAGTAGAAATAGCAAAATACCATGGTGGAAATAGACATTCCCTTAAAAAAATAGTAAATGACCTAGAAGGGTTTGAAGCTGCAAAAACTTCAAGAAATACTCAGAATGGGCATAATTCAAATACATTTTATTGGCAATAATTTTATTTTTTTCGAGAACTTTTATTTTATTATAAAAATGGTTTTCCTTATGAAGACTGTTTCAGAACGTCATTGATGTTCATTTATTATTATGAAATTTAATTAATGCGGCATTAGTAAAAAAGGAATATACATGTATATATATATAGCGAGAATTAAATAAAAATGCAGTTTGCATATTGCTTTATTACAAAAAAAAATTGCATAGTAAAGTTATTAGTATCAATTAATAAATTGCTGATGTTTAATTTTAAATTCCGGTACGTAACTGATTTTTGGGTGACGCTAGGGAGGTTGGCGAAAACGAGGTGTCGGGCCATGTGATTTCCGGCGCTCCGACAAAAAATTCAGGATCTGGTGTAACGTGAAATTTTACGAAAGCAACTAAGTTTTTTCAAAAATTGCAGATAACTCAAAATTTTGCTTATGAAACCATCTTCTGCTAAATATACGATTGTTTTGATTTTTAGATATCAGATCGAATGCTTCGGAAGTCACATGACCCGACACTTCGTTTCGTCATGGCTAGGGTTTCCAGAGGCGATAGGAGTAAATAGCTTGTGCGGGTAATACAAACCTCTAAAAAGGAAATGGCCAATCAGAAACACAAATTTCGGGTATTCCGACATAGAATCCGAACACGTGCGAAAGAAGAAAAAAAGAAAAGAAAGCGAAAATACTCAAAAACTAGTGTTTAAGTCGACCTTGGTTGACTAATAAAAATAACGGGGGTGAAATTTTACATATAAAAAACCCAACTTATCGCTAAAGCTCACAACCCTAACGTCTTAATCCTAAACTTCTATTTATACGCACTTGGTTTATTTACAAAATTTGATTCCTTTTTTGGTTTGTGTTACCTGCGCAAATAAGTAAATCGGGAGTAAATATAAGGCATCTGGTATTACACTTGAAACCCCTGAAATTAGATCTTGAAGTTGTAATTTCAAGCAGGTTCTAACTTCAAGTACGTACATACTTTGTAATTTCAAGTAGGAGCTAACCTTCAGGTACAATATATTTGCTGGGACGACAATCTTTAAGTTGGACGAAAATAATGTCAGAAAATCAAAAAATTAATTGAAGCATGGAAATTAAATCATGGATTATGTTTAGCTGGCAATAAATTTATTCAAAGCAGAAATCCAATTTTTGACAATGATGGAGAGTTGAAAATAGAAGCATATAAGGATGTGCCGTTAGTATATGTTGCTTCTAAAGACCCAACTAGCCCCTTAATTATAGATGCAGATAAGAAAAAATCATCCTGGAAAGAATTGCAAGAATTACAAGATGCTAATGAAAAGTCTGTTGAAAATATACTTGGGGCGGAAATTAATGAAAAGCCCAATGACAATATACTTGGGGTGGGTATTAGTGAAAAGTCTAATAACAATATACTTGAGGAGGATGTATGTATTTTATTTCCAATTGCTGAGGTCACATATAGTAGTAAATACTTGAAAGATTTTAATAATGAAACCAATGATTATACTGAATATGGTCAATTTTTTGCAAATAAATTACTTGTTGGAGGAAAATTGGTTCTTAAAAACTTTGCTAATGCAAAACCAAAACAACACGAACATTTAAAGTCGCATTTGGTCTGGGCATTTGATGCATCCTGCTCAAACAAGGAGAATCCAATAGAAGGGGCAACTATTTATGATTTTCCTATTATTGAAACAACGAACGAGGATAAAATAAAAACTCCAAAAGACCTAGCTAGGTGGATGAAACGCTTATATGAGGATAATGCAGCAGAAATTATATCGTATAAGGAAGTTGTCCCATTGATTGAGAAACTTGAAGATAAGTCTATTAGATTTAAACGCTTAGTTCCTGGCATCACGCATAAGCATAAAGAGTTTACTCTAAAAGATTGGACTAATGATACACCATCGACAAATTTACTAACATGGATTAATAAGTTTAATTTTCACTATGGAGTTTTGGTTGACCAATTTAGAATTTCATTTGCTAAGAAGTGTGCTATAAATTTTATTCAAGGACCAATTGTCACTAAGCGTAATAACTCATCATATTTACAGACAATTCGACCCAAAACATATATAGAGGAAACCTTATTAGGGCATGATGTTATTAGCAAATTAGATCCAATTCCATTTGTATCAATTGCGGAAAGTACTACTTCGCAAATTAGCAACATAAAGTATTTCTTTGTGAGGCAGGAATTTGTTAAAATTTCACTTGAGACTGATTATATTAAAGCTTCATCGGATTTTGAACAAGCTGTAAAGGATGCTCTCGATAATATTAAGCCTTATCAAAAGCTTCAGCAAGTGTTTAATAATTTTTTCCACAAACAATAATTTTGGGCAGACAACTTAAAAAAATGTTACCAAATCCCATGAAATCCGATTCACCAGACGATCATAAGATCCCGATTGTAGCTACATCACAAGATGATATTGAGATCCCGATTGTAGCTTCATCACAAGATGATATTGATGAAGCGTTTAAACAAATAAAAGAATCGAATTTGGAATATTTATTAGGATCAGATGGAAAGTTTATAAAACAAAATAAAATTTATGATTGGCTTAAATTAAATGAGAATGATGATAAATTAGTGGATAATATCCGAATGAAAAGTATTCGCCCACTGTACGAAATTCTTGAAGAAGAATTGCGACATCAAGTTGATGTAGTTTGGAAGAATAGATTAGATGACAGAATATTGTTAACAGGTTTCACTAACATTAGTGAAGATAACCTTACTGAGGCACGTAAAGATAACCTTACTGAGGCACATATTCGTATTAATTTTAAAGATCGTTTAGATGATAATTGCTTTCATGTTTTTGGACATGTTGTCAATGATGATCATGATAAGATAGAAGGAATAGTTGTGAGATTTGATTTGTTTGATTATTATGGATTCTCTGCATTTGTTACTTTTAATCAAAGTGTAACAAAGAATATAAAAGAATGGTTTGTATATTTTTAACGTTATAACAATTTATACAATTTGATTAATGCATAAAATGGTATATTCACGATATCTATTAAATTGTTTTTCTTAGCCATATAGCATGGTTAGTTGTCGGAAAGCCTGGACCATTGGGGATTTTCAGCACAAGTTGACTCTAACAATCTTATTCATATATCCTTGTCGGCTACAAAGATGACCAAAAATCATATTGTTTTGTTGATTGCAACACACGATATACCTTTCAACGATCCACCAACACTAAGCTTTAATGTACAAGAATGGTCAGAAAATGTTCTTTGTCTGAAAGTAACACAATAAACAATGAAAAGGAAATTAATCTTGAGCATATAGAATTCAATCTCAACGTTTGTATTATTTATCTTAATGATGTATCTCCTTTCATGAAAGAGCTAGTCAAATATAACTCATTTGGTCAAATGTTTAATATTAACTAGTAAAACGAGGCCGTTTCGCCTTATTTATTACAAGCTTAAACTTGATAATAAAATTTATAACATACATATATATAAATAATAAGATATGTGATAATTTTAAGTAGCATATTTTATAAGTTTATTTTAATGTAGCATGCATGTAAAAATTATAAATTTTCATTTAAGATTCATAAATTTATAAAGAATGTAATCCCTGCTCTTCGGCTAATCTCTGTTGTAAACGTGTGCTTTCTCCTAACTTCTGTAATCTATTATAAGAAAATGTATTGTTGAAAAGAAGATCAGAAAGAGCACGGACTCTTGATACAGCTACAAATGTAAGACCTATAGCAAATTCCTTATTGCCAATGTCTAATGCGGTTCGTAATAATGTTAAACCTTGCGATTTGTGGATCGTAATTGCCCAAGCAAGACACAATGAAAATTGCATACGAGAACAAGTTCCCGATTTTCCTTCCCATGAATATCTAATTGGACGAATTGGTACCACTCCTGAATTATTTAACGTACATAGAGTTGGACCTGTATAATTATTAATATATATATATATAGTATATTTTTTATATAATATATATTTTTTACATACCAGGGTCCATATCATATTCATTTAAAAACCTTTTGGGGTTAATGTTTCTTGATTGCATCAAGTATATAATCCTGTTTTATGTACTAATACGATCGTAGGAAAACTCTCTTTACAGATAGGGCAGAAATTGAATTTAAGTGCAAAAACTGCATTGCGAAACTTCTTACTGTATTTTCGCATAATAACGCCCATGAGCGTTATTTCGAATTTTGGCCTGAATTATGCTTAATTTAGGCCAAAATTTGAAATTACACGCCTGTGTGTTATTACATGAAAATACAGTAAGAAGTTCTTAATCATAATTAGAAAGCTGATATGCAAGTGGTGGTGACAAGATATTTTGATCTTCTAAAAAATAAAAAGTTAGTTAATATAAATAGTCAACATTTTATAATTTGTTGAAATTATAATAAACATTATGTTCATCACTCAGATTTGTATTTTCTTTTTCGATATTATTATTTTACGTTTACATCAATCTTGCCTTTTTATTGACTCATGTGTCATAAAAGCCAATCTCTTTCTTCTAGCATCATTTCTTGCAGTCTTTTGTTCAGGTGTATAAATTCTTTTTTTTGTATCAATACAATAAATTATTAATTCACTTTTAATTAGCTTTGTTAATCATCTATCACATTTATTACGTTAATTATCATTATATTATCATGCTTATTAGTCTATTTATTTATCATTTATCATTAATTCTCATTTTATTTATCATGCTTATTAGTCTATTTTATTTATTTATCATATATAATTATTAATCTGATTAAATTTTTACAGGAGATTTGATTGTTCAAAATCGATTTATATAATTACAAGGGTGGGAGCCGGACATCAACCCAAATTAGTAAAGTATAGAAAGGTCTTATACTTCACTTCCCTCTGCTCCAGCCCAACTATTATAACAAATTGATTGATGAAAGAAAATAGTTAACATATTCACAAAATTATATGGATAAAAAAAACTATTCATAAAACTAGTAATAAACCAGCATGTTTTATAGGGCTAGAGCTTTATGTATTAGGTTCTAAATTAAAAAAAAATTGTTAGTGTATTATCTGTAGTTTATCTAATATTTACAAAATAATATATAATAAAAATCTGATTCAAATATGTGTTAATTTAAGCAAATATTTTATATTCATATATATGCAAACAAATATAACTAATTCACAAAGTTATAAAGAAAGAAATCTTTGCTTTTCAGCTAATCTTTGTTGCAAATGTGACTTTCTTTCAATTTTTGTAATCTAT